TATTCGGTGTACTAGCTGTTTTTTAACCTCAGGCTCTCCTCCATATAAACCTTAACCAAACTGGAATCAGAGCTGAACATGACCAGTGAGAGATGAGGTTGACTGCCAGTGAAATACCACTGCTGACTGTTTAACATTCCTTTCAGTCTTGCAGCAGAGTTAGAGTGCTCTGAAATGAAGTGGCACTTACATTGTCAGAACATAGCCTACTAGAGGTTTACTGCACCAACGAAGCTCACAAAAAACCTCAACTTGCATGCTAGAAATGTCTTTTCAGGCATTGTGTATGTAAAGTGTTAGTGATAGTAAATAGTAATTTTTCTCACAAATTGCACACACAATCTGTAAGCTTTTAAACTGTTTGTGGCAGACAAACTGCTTAAAATGAATGCTTGAATGACTTTAGCATCAATAGCATGGCTACCGATGTTTAGATGTTAGATCAGCAGAAATGTTCTTTTTTTACTTGTAAAATACTGTTCGTTTAAAACTCTCTTGTTCCAGTCAGATACAGAGATGCTGTTTCCTTCTTTTGTTTTCACCAGATTGGATTGGACTGTAAAGCACTGCTTGCTGGTGTCTCTAAAATTACCATCGACAGGCATAAGTATGTTCAACAATTAGAATTTTAACCATACCTAAGTTATACAAACACCTAAGTCCTGTTAGGATTCCAATATGGCATCCTCCCTGTGTCTCTTTTTAGGGTACATATTATAATCCTTCTCCACATTTATTATACTTCTGGACTATTCCACTTCACCCCAACAGGTCAGCTCCTTAGATTCTTGTTTGGTAAACCTTAAAGCATAAGAAACCGTATACTGAGTGACAAGGCTTTTAACAGTTTTAGAAAAAGCATTCCTTATTTTTAATACTGTACAACTGCAGCTAATTTTTTATTTCTATGTTAATCTTTGCTTTGAGATGTCTTTCTATGAAAGTCGCTATAGAAATCACCATTATCATCATCATCATTACCTAGTAGAAAGTATTTTGAGAGACAACAAAAGTTCATTTAAGGCACATACTGTAGAAACAAAAAATTATACCACCAAAAAATGGCAATTTAAATAATACTCATGGAGACCTGCTGAAAGATTTTGCCAGAAATCAGATCTTCTGAATTAAGTTTGTTGATTTATGATTATTTAATGGGATCCAGTGCCTCTTGACAGCATAATTGGAAAAATTGTCCCATTTAATGAAAGAGAGTAATACTTTGGTTAGTTTCCCCTCTAACATGACTTGGGTGGTGGTTGTGGTGCATATTGGGGGCAAGAGTATTCAAGTCACAGAATTTAACTCTGAAATCCTAAAACTCCAACTGAGAATCTATTTAACCTTTCATGCAAGTCTCGGGATTAAGGCTGTCCTTATTTATTTAACAATGGGTTTCTACAACAGATGGGGTTTTCAGAATAGTGGGCACAATGCAAAAATGTTTTTTTTTTATTAGAGGTTTAAATGACTGTACATGAAATGTTCTTTTGCCATCAAGATTCCTCATAAACATGGCTCAAGGTACCATATTCTACTACCTTAAAAGTGAATAGGAAATAAGTGGTCTCTTTACATTTGGTTAGGAACACTAAGTGTGGGTATTCTAAATTGAAACAGATGTGGCTGGCACAAATATGCGAACTTGTATAGCAGTGCAGTTCATTACACTAGATAATCTGGATGTGTAAAGGAAAAACGCCAATGTTGCAAAACAAAGGCATGCAAGTTAAAACACATTAAAAGCTTGATATGCAAACTGTAAATAAAGTAAAACCCTAGGACACATAAATATTTATTCCTGCATTCCTTTAGGAAAAGAGATTGTGAATGCATTGGTGTAAAACTAGATATTTGTTCCACAAAGAAGCTTTAGATGTTCCGCATTCACTTCCTCTTTGCCTCCCCCATCTTCAGCTCCTGTTATCTGAACTCTTCGCTTCTGTCAGTTTTAATAATTGCGAGATGAATATCGGCGAACTTCCCATGCCTGATTCTGTTGGATCCAAAATGTCAGCTGTGCAATGTAATGTTTTCAAAAAGAAGACAGCTAGCCTTAAATAGTTGCTAAAATCATTTTGGACCTGCCATGTTAAGTAGTTTTATTTGGAAATGCTCTTACTAACATACACATGTGCTGTATTTGCAGTGGAGAGATATTTGGGTAGCTAACAGACAGAATTCTCATGAAAATACTTTGCATATTTTCAGAAGAGGCAGTTTGGTCTCTCCCATCATCCAAAGTACTCTGGTTAATGGAAAGGAAGATTGAGGAGCAATAGTTATCAGGTATTTCTCAGTCTGTGCTTCTACATCTGCAATTCAGAATATTTCACCAGAACATAGCCTATGGTATAGGCGGTGTTCACATATTATTGCAATAAGTTGAAATACAAATAAAGTTATTCCTACTGTATGTATTGGATAAAATTAAGGTGTAAAAATAGTGTGATTTCACCAGAGATATCCGTTGCAGACAGTGGGACTATGATTAATTTGATGAGTTTGTCTTCAGGTCATTATAATGGGTAGTTATAGTGGTATTTCGTTGCAGAATTGGTGCAAAAGGATGTCAAGGTGCTGTTAAAGCCTTTTTTGTTACATTACTATCTAAAAGGCTGCTGGTGCCAGTAAATACTGTTCACCTTAAAGCCTGGCAGTAGGTAAAAAACCTTTACATATCTCCATCAAATGTGAGACCAGGGTATCAGTACGTTGTCACAGAAAAATACCTTAAGTTATATGTAGAAAAATACAAATGGACACCATCTAGCGTTCACTACATGAACAGAGCAGCATGTGACCATTGTACCAACCTGCACTAAGATCTATGGTTTTACACTCTTGCTCCTACAGATACCATAAACATAAGAGGGATTATCTGTTCTGCACGGAATGCATCTGTTACAAGGCTATTATGTCAGATAAAAACTCATTTGCCTAACATACTGTATGCCCCTGAGCAAGTCAAAGTCTACTGAAGGAGACCTTCCTGCTTACTTGCGTTTTTGCCAATTTAATTTTTTCAGATTTAATATACTGGATGAAATGTATTATTTCATATTATTTAGTATGCATCTTAACCCTTTAGTTGCCTCTCACAGAAACAAAATTTATTACCACCAATTTATTCAGTACATAATGCAAATCATTCATCTTTAGTCTATATAGAGAGAGTAGAAAACAAGTAGATAGAAAAATAAGTTGATAATTTTGCACGTTTACAACAAATTACAAACAAGGATATTTTTTCATATGCACACTTTATCATAAAATGTGATGACATCCTTTGATTAATTCAGAATTGGGGCACACAACATTTTATATTTTTCGTGGAGAACTCATTTTGTATTTAAATTATAAACTTCAGAAGAATAGCCATTTCAATCTGAAAGCTCAAATTTAATATAAAGATTACTGTGAATGAAATTTACTTTTTATTCTTGCTATATTATGTAACACACTATAAATAAGAAAGCACTTCTTTGTTGCACATTCTAAAAAACACACTATTTAGAATGTATCAACCATTGCCTGAGCACTTCTAAAGTTTAAGTGCACTTTTCATTTTATAGACAAGGGTAATTTAAGAGGACTGCAAATCCACTTACGTAAACGAATTAACCTAATCAATTTTGATTACTTTTTGCTTAACATTACAAAACAAAGAAAGAGAAGATACAGGTCCTTCTTCAAGCTTCTTAAATCCATATCCAGTACAGCTAAACAACATTTCAATACTTCCCTATTGAAGTACAATTTCTACCACGTGTAGCTCACAAGATAGTTTTTAATTAACGAGCAGAAATGTGTGCATGAGGTGTAACCAAAGTCTTGATGGAAGAAGAACAGTGGCCAGGTGGGTCTCAAGTTGAGAAATGTTTATTCTACAGAGAATGTTGTACTCTACTGTAACGCAACAGTACTCTGCTGTAAAAGAGCAGTACTCTGGTATAAGACACCAGTACTCTGGCATAAAAGAGCAGCACTCTGGTATAACAGAATAATACCCTGGTATAAAAGAGCGGTACTCGGATATAATGGAACAGTACTCTGTTATAAAAGAGCTGTATTCTGGTATAATGGAACACTACTCTGGTATAAAAGATCGGTGCATTTATATAAAAGAGCAGCGCTCTGATTTCAAATAGCAGTATTCTGGTATAACAGAGCACTCCTCTGGTTTAGAAGATCAGTACACTAATATTAAAGAGCACCACTCTGGTGTAAAAGAGCTGATCTCTGGTACAAAAGAGCAACACTGATTTCAAAGAGCAGTACCCTGGTACGAGGGAGCAGTACTTTGGTATGATGGGGAGTCTATTTTTTAGCAGCAGAACTAATAGTAAAAACCATTAGAAAACACCATGTGTGCTACGGGCAGCATGAACACTAATATACAGTTACAGTGGGGAAGGGAAAATGAAGACAAATAGTGGTCATGGTGCATTACAGCCTAGCTTCTTCAGACTCTCTGATCATTTCAAACCAGCATGAAGTGCAGAAATAAATAATATCTGAACCACAAGAGACCCTCTTCTCTTCTAAAGAAATTAATGTTTAAAGTTTTTAGAAAAACCACTGAAATGGCACAGCATAATTGTTTTCAGATTCCGTCTTTCATACGTGAACAGCCACTGATTAAAACATGCAAATGTAAAAAAAATATCACAAAGGCACTCTATTGATGAGAGCACAGAGAAACTACAAGGCTTTTTCTACATTTTCAGAGCTTACTGCTGTAATAGAAAATGGAAGAGACAGAACGGCAAATTCACAAGCTCTCCAGCTTCCGTTGTGATAAATTATTTCACTGTCTTTTCTATCGCAAATGAGGGACACCAAACATAAGAGGTAACAGGGTATTATCTACAGTTGTAAATAGTTTCTTGCAGTGTTAAAACATTACATTAATCATTTTTCAGGACATCTGAGTGGAAATATTTAGTCTCATTCTCTCACCTACATCTGGAAGAGATTTGTTAGGATAAGTTACTTACTGTAGGGATCATCCTTGCTCTTCGTCCCATTAACTTTGCCATTTTTATCAATCCTGAGAAAGAACTTCTGGAAGGAAAAGAGCTTCCTCTTGCGAACGTCTCCTTGGAGGTGATTGTAGCTGCGCACATGTCTCCCAACAACCACAGAAGAGTTGGTGACCCCTGCTGAATGCATGTCTTTGCCGATGTCATTGCAGGTGATAGACACAGTGTAGATCAAGACAAGCAGGGAGACACAGGACAGGTGTGAAAAGGCTAAGGCACCCTTTGTCAGTATCCATTTCCACATTGTACTGAAGCTCTTGGGACTGGAAAAAGTCTCACAGAAAGAAACATACTGGAATACTGGGGAGAAGTGGAAGGAGGCAAGTGGAGGTCCCGTCGCTTGTTATCCCCTCTCTAGCTCCTCTTTCTGTCGAACGGAGTGCACCAACATCCATAACTCAAACCACCTCCAGCGTGCAGCCTGAATTCCCCCCCCTTGAAGGCTCCTTCCTTGAAACAGAAAGTTTTCACAATAAATTTTCTCTTGGACCCAAAAAAATAAATAAAAGGAAAGCAAAGAAAAATCCGTAAGTGTAATCCCTCTGAAGTCTGTGGGTTTTATATTGTCGGGAGTTCCCTCTGTGAATGACGCTTCTCCCCCCCCCCACAGCTGAAGCACTTAGGGGTTTCTTGAACACAGCCGATCTCCTCTCCGAAGTGTCTGATTCGTGTCACTCTTTTCACCTTATTTATTCAGCACAGGGACCAGATGTAATCTCTTTAGCTAATTGGCAGTCTATGAAAAACAGTTGGCTTTGAAGATGTGTGTGTGTGTTGAGTGAGCGTGTTTTTTCTCTCTCTCTCCCCCCCACCCACCCCCCCCACACACACACACACCAACCACCACCAACTTGCTTAGCAGTAAACAGGTCAGAGACTGGTGAATAATGTCAGTGATTATTCTGCCGAGGTGGGATGTGCCTACAGAGGTAGTTGGAGGTGGTAGTCAGTCGGTCCCTTGGGTCAGAGCAAAAGAAGACATCTGAAACCAGGCAGCAGAGTTGCAAAATTCCTTAAGGGAGGGGGGTGGGGTTGGAGCGGGTGGTGGGGGGGAGGTAGGAGGGGAGGGGAAGTTCAGAAGATTCCCAACTGCTACCCCTTTTTGAGGCAGACTTTCAGCCCTGGCTAATTGCTCTCAGTTTTTCTTTTTTTTTCCTCCACTAAAGGCTGGCCAACAGAATGGGCTGTGTACTCATGGCTTTGCTAATCTCTCTGTCTCTCGCACCGCATCCAGCTCCCTCTAGGGAGCCTCTTTGTTGGACAGACTTCCCAGTGGCCACTTTTTTGGCATTGAACTGTTTTTAGAGCCACCTTGAGCACATTGCTTTGTGTCCTTACTTAGTGGCTCCTTCCACCCTCTTCGGTTTTTAATCCTCTGTTTTCATCTCTTCTGCCTTTTCGATATGGAGAGAGAGGGTTCCCTTATTTACGCCCTCTGTGCACGGAATGCAGTATCGTACAGCAGGCTAGCCGGACCAGATAAATTACTGTCTGTAAAACAAACAAAAAAAAAATATTTTCTTTCTTTTCCTAATTAGCGAGAATTTGAAAGCTAAAGTTAGCCACTACCAACAGCCTCACATCCCATCTCCTAATATACATATATTTACTTTCTGTTTCCACAACAGTATCCAAGCCCCCAGACCCACCAATAACATCCTCTACCACTCCCCTCCCCCCCAGATTTCTAGAAAGAAAACAGACATACACAAACAATTTGCAAATGCTAACGAGCTATTTGCCAAATAATGCTTTAACATGAGAGCGAAAAGGGACCTTTCCGTGTTTTGAAAGATCTCATCATAAAATCTTGGTCTTAGAATCCAGTGTCTGAATTGTTTAATTTCCTTTTCACATTTTATTCTCAACCCATATCTCCACTGCTTCTCTCACAACCTGTTTCTAAACAGCTTTTCTTTTTTTTTTTGCAGACAAATAAATATTTTTTGTGTTTTGACTGATTCTCTGCCAGAGCTGTGGGTTATATTTCATGGCATGAAAACAGCTTCTCCTAGTCCTGTAAATCAGACCATTGCTAGTTTTTAAATGACAGTCCACCCAGGTATAGTATGAAGTCAGATTTTTTCTCTAACAAAATCATCATCTACTGAAATTTTTGTATTTATTTCATGTTATCCTAAACCCTAGAATGACCTTAATAATGCTAAAAGCAGGTGAAGATTGTCAATATAACCGCATGAAAACAGACTCAAAATATTGCATTTATTTACTGCCAGTTCATCCTCCAGATAAACCAGACTGGAAAGGGAGTAGAATTCATATGGGTGAAAAAATGGGGTTGAAAAGTTTATGATCCTTCTGTTACAGTAACATAATTCCCTCTCTCAAACCCCAGCCAAATTAATATAAAATATATCGTTTTTAAGACACCACACAAAGTGAAACCCAGGGAAAGAATATTCAAAAGTTTACAAATTTTGATGAAACAGAGTAAGAAGCAAACAAGAAAATACATCTACTATATTTTAAATATAAACCATGACGCAAACAATGATCAATGACTATGTATATAACAGATAATGCTAAAAGAACCAAATGGACTACTCACTTGGGAAATTAAAAGTGATTATTCTGTTTCACTTTTTTTGTGCCAGAATGCACCACAACAGTATGTTAACTGTCGGCAAGTGCCTAAAATAGATTCCACTAAATCACTAGATTACCAGTAACTGAGACAAATATTAATCAGAAATTGATCCTTAAGTTATTCTTTCTTCTTAAACTACGGCAAGTATTGTTGCATTAAGTTTCAATCATTCTTCTTTGATCTTCTTCAGAGAGATACATCTGGTGTTGATTCTGTAATATCCAACAACTAACAACCATCAATGTAAACTATGATGGCTGGAATGTTTATGGCTGGAACTATATACTGTATGTAACTAGACTAACTAAGAGTTCTAACAGTTCCTCAGAAGGCAGATGCAACAATGAGCGAGCTTAAAAAAATCAACCAACAGTAGAAATTGATGGAAAAGAAGAAAAGTCAGCATCTGTTTAAGCCATGTCCCTGGTAGCTTAACTGACCCTGAGAGACAGTTATTATGAACCACAGAGAAACTGGAAACAATACTGACTTCATTATGTTGCACAGATGCACTTAAAAGCCACACAAGTTTTCAAATGAAAAATGTAAGAAAATTCAGTTCTATGATTTCTTATTAAACATATTTAGTAGATTACTTTCTGAAGCTGAATGCACGTACAGTATGGATATGATTTGATTTAGGAATTACACATGTGAAAACTGACTTTCACAAACTTAATTTAACTCTAATTACGATAAATAGATAATTTATTGACAAGATATCTAATTTAAAGTTAAGTTTAGTATTCCACATATGCAACTTATTTAAAATAATAGGAGACAACAAACCCATAGTCACAAACAATAAATTGTTGGGACTTTTTCTTCAGAAGTTTGATGCTGGTTATCTTTATTAATTAAAAAGACTGGTAGTAGTACGATAACATTTCTACTATGTGGTCTAAGAAAAGAATTAAGCATAACCTTTTCTTCTGAGCAAATAATGACCCTTAGCACACTTTGAAGAAGAGTGAAGTCATTATTTTAGATTTGAATCACTTAATGTAACATTAGTTTAAAAAATTAATGAGTTTTACAAGAATTTCTGTTTTATGTGTGTACATATTTCAATAAATGAATCTTGCATTTTCCTAAACCTGTATGCTCCTATACATGAGGTAATTGTTTTTGTTTCTCTTTGGATAATGAAGAGAAGGTTACTACCTCCGGAGAATTGTGTTAGCTTGATAATAAAATATGAAACAGCTTCTAGCCACAGTAACAATGCCAAAACTGTGCCATGCAGTGAAACATATATCTTAGAAGATTGGATTAAGTCAGTGTTAAATGTCTGAAAAGGTCATAAGCTTTTCACTTTTATAAAATACTCTGCCTCAGGAGAAATACTGTACAGGGTTGAAGACTGAAGCACTTAGAAACTTCACTAGGTCCCCCTAGTGTGGTAAATGTTTATAACAGGGTCATGAAATTTATCTTGGAGATAAATGAGACCTCATTCTTCTTTAGATGAATCCTATCTTACGTAACATGTTCTAGGCCCGTCTTCTATTTACAGTTAAAATGCACTTCTTTTTTTCAGCTGTCAGCCTCTCTCCTGCCTATCTGTCTTCTCTCCACCCATGGCTCTCAGGTCTAGCCTGCTCTGTTGGCTTAGTGTCTAATCTTCTGCTTCAGGAAAGGAATGATGTTATCATTAGCTTCCTTTTGTTGTGTTTGCCTGCCCACTGCAGTAAAAGCGATTTGGCAGGAGCAAGAAAGTGCACAAAAAATAGGGTCAATTGATCCACGCTGAAGCAGTTGATTACCTTAGGTTTTTGTTTCTTTGAAAAATCGTTTTGAATAATTTTTAGGGCTTGTGCTTTTTGGTCTGTTCACATGCACTATTGCAGTGCACCCACAAAAAAGACAACCTGCTATTCAATTTTGCAGATTTCACTTAGTATTTGTAAAAGCTTTATTTATTTTTTTCAGTAATCCTAATGAAGTTCAGATGTTGGAAAGAAAACCTTAACTAAAGTAGTTTTCATCACACAAGAAAACAATTTGCTGGACATCTTAATGCCTTAGCTATCTTGTTACTCAGCACTACAACTTGGAAAACCAATATTTTGTTTCGATGGGCCATTGCAATACAGTGTCTGTCATCAAAACCGGGCCAGTCCATACCTCCCCCTTCTTCAGTGCAGGCTGGGACACAATGTTGAGTAACCTCTGCCAATGTTCTGTGTTTCAACCAAATACTGTGCCTCTTAGTGCCTCTCTGCACTTTTGCTCAGAGTGAATGGTCATTCAAGCTCTCCGAGTTAATGCATCTTTCTCACCTATATAAATTCAAGACACACCAACAGAGCACAAAACAAACCGCATACAACTGTTGAAAATAGAGAAGAGTTTCTATGAAAACTATATCAGAAAAACTATGATTACAGTATGTAAGATATGGAGACAATGTTTCACCGTTAGGAACTGTAGGTGACAAAAAGTATTGTTTTACTCATGAGGCCACAAGATAAGGCCAAGTAGGGGTAGCAGGACAGTAAATTATGTTACAAGGTTTTAAATGTCAATGTTTTGGGCTAAATGATTGGACAAGAAAAATGCAAGGTACATAATATTTGATAATTAAAAGAAAGATATTTTAAGGTACAGTACAAATCAGTATATCAGTATATCTTGGTAACTTTAATGATCCATAGCGTCAGGATATGACTTCAGAAAACTGGGTAACACTTGCTAGAACTGGCCAATTGTTCTTGTTCAGAAGAGTCTGCAACAATTCACAGACCTAGAAATCAGTCACTATGATATCTTTAGATTGCCAAGAAGACTCTTCTCAAAGACTAATAAGTCCTTGTGCAAGATAGACCCCTAAGATTTCAGTGAGCTTTGGATTCTTTGAAGGAATATACAGTATAGTCTTCAATAAGGTACTGCTCACAAGGACATCATTAACATTTTAATATAATCTCTACCTGCTTTTGACTCTCCCTGAACATCTATAGACCTTTCAACATTCTATAAGGTTGCTACAATGCAAGTATCTTATTGTTATTTTTTCATGTAAGATGTTTATTGTGTGCAAGAATCCTTTATCCTTCACTCGGCTTGATGCCTGTCCTTTCTTTATAAGCTTTAGTTTTCAGCCAAAGCCAGACTCAGAATGTCCTCCAGTGATTCTCATTGTTCACTCACCTACTGGCCGAACCTGAGAAACATCT